CAAGTAGCTGGGACTATAGGTGCACACCATCACACCCAGCTGAGTTTTGTATCTTTTGTGCCCAGGCTGGTCTTGAACTCCTGGGCTTAAGCCATCTGCCTGCCTTTGCCTCTCGAAAGTGCTGGGATTATAGGCATGAGCCACTGTACCTCAATGTTACTGGTTTCTGTTCTTTACTAATTCATTTCTTTTATTCTGCTTGCATTAGGTTTAATTTGCTCTTATTTATCTAGTTTACTTTTTAAATAATTGAAATAAAGATTTTTATAATAGAGATGGGGGATCTCACTGTGTTGCCTAGACTGGTTTCAAACTCCTGGGCTCAAGCAGTCCTCTTGCCTTGACCTCCCAAAGTGCTGGGATTATAGGCACATGCCCCTGCACCTGGCCATGGCTCTAGTTTCTTAAAGTGGAGACCTAGATTACTGATTTGACACCTTTTATTCTTTTCTAATAGAACATTCAGGCTATTCTTCCATAACTCCAGCAATGAAGAACTCAGTTCTTCTGGAGGCAGCCCAATCTACTTTTGAAAATTCTAATGGTTAGAAAGTTTGGTTTGGTATTGAGCTGAGCTGCTTCCAACAGTTTCCACTTAGATCCTTGTTCTGTTCTTTACAGTATCACTGATATATTTTTCGAGCTAGTATCTTTAGCTCTTTTATCTTTATTCTTCCCCTAAGGGCCAAGCACTGTAAGAGTTTTCTACATCTCTCTTCATTTCCTAGTCTTTACTTCCTTTCTCAGCAAACAGAGATATCATGCCTAATCATATGCCATGGCAATGTCTCTAGCAAAGATGACCAAGGACTTCTTTGTCACCAAGTTCAGTGCAACCCTTTCAGCCTTCACCTCATATGGTGTCTGTACAGTATTAGGCACTGTCCTCAGCTCCTGTGACAGGGTGTTTCTTTGTTTCCACCATTTTGGTTTCTCCTTTTTAGCATCTTTGCAGATTTTATCTCTGATCGTTCCTTAAATGTTGAGGTTTTTTTCTTATTCTATTGTCATGGTTTATCTCATTGACTCCCATGATTTGAAACACCACTCACTGTCTACTATTAATCAAATCTGTGTTTTCATCCAGACTTTTCTGCAAAGCTCTGGACCTGGATATCCAACTCCTTGCTGGATGTTCCCACTTGAATATTCCACAGCTCATTGTTTCCAAAGCTGACCACCTGGGGGTCCCTGTTCACAGAATGACACGATCAACTCCTCATCTGCCCAGGCCTAAACCCTGGGGTGCATCTTCTCTATTTCTCCTATGAAAACCAATTAGTCTTTATCTCCTGCGGATTCTCATGTTTGATTCTTTCCAGGTTCTCCACACCAACCACCACAACACTATGAGCTCGTTAAGGGTAGGGATGGCATCTGTATTTCTGCCTCTTACCTCCAGTGCCTTGCATATAATAGTTTCTCAATTATTTATTAAATGACTAAACATTTGTTACTCTGTAAATGTTTCTTAGATGAGTAAATAAATTTGTCCACAAGACAGTCCTCCAAGTATGAGAATGCTACTATTACAGCCATACATTCATCCAGAAAATATTTATTGAGCACCAAGCACTCTTCTAGGCTTTGCAGATATGATGCTGAACAAGTTAGACTAGATCTTTGTCCTCACAGAATTTATATTCTAGGTGACAGACAGATAAAAACAAGTAAACAAATCAGAACATTTCAGGTTAACAGGCTAGACAGTGACTAGGGTTGGGAAGGGACTACCACAAGGTAGTCAGAAAAGATCTTTTTGGCCGAGTGTGATGTCTCATGTCCGTAATCCCAACACCTTGGGAGGCCGAGGCAGGTGGATTGGCTGAGCTCAGCAGTTCGAGACCACCCTGGGGCCAACATGGTGAAACCCCATCTCTACCAAAATCAAAAAATTAGCTGGGCTTGATGGTGCATGCCTGTAATCCCAGCTCCTCAGGAGGCCGAGGTAAGGATAACTGCTTGAACCCAGCGGGTGGAAGTTGAAGTGAGCTGAGATTGTTCCACTGCACTCCAGCCTGGGCTGCAGAGCAAGACTGGCTCCAAACAACAGCAAAACAACTTTTTTTTTCTTTTTTTTTTGAGAGTGATGTTTGAGTTGGTGACATTTGAATAGAGAATGGAATGAGTTGGTGACACTTGATTAGAGAATGAAATGAAGCAAGGGACCCAGCCTTGCAGATATGAGGTAACGGTGTTCCAGGACAAAGGCCCCCAGGCAGGGAACGAGTTAAGAGTGTAGTGATGAAGAGACTCACAGTAGGGCCTCACAGCAGGAGGCCCTAAAGGTAGGGAGAGACCAGATCAGGTGGGGCCTTATAGGCAGGAGGCTAAGGGTGAATTTTAAGTGTAACGAGGAGCTACTGAAGTTCCAGAGGACTGGTATGCCCAGCCCCACTGCCAAGTTTTGTCTTTTTTCCAAACATTTCAGTTGCTCCAAGAAATGTCTTATTAAGGCTGCCCATTGCATGAACTATCAACTTTCTGTTTTGTTAATATGGGTAAAGTGGTCTCGGGAGCCACCTTAGGGGATAGAGGGCTCTGAGTTCTCTACAAGAGTAATGCTGCTGCTTTGTTCATTTTACACGATGAGACTGTTCAGATTTCTTTTGGGGAGACAGTATTCCATTTACCCTTTCGACGCCCCTGCCGCCCCAATGCAAACTGAAACTGCAGGACCAGATTCCCTGGGGGTGCTTCCTGCTGGCATACTTCTGTGTGTGCTTTGTGATGTCATTTATCAGTGAAGGTGAGAAAGGTGAAGGATGTGATTTCCTAAGACATGGAAAAGCATTTGCCTGGAAGGTCCCAGAAGATGATGGCCATTTGCATGATGAGGTGGCTACACACTCTGCAACACCTTTTGTGGAAGGTGTTTGTTTCGCATTCAAGCTGAGATCATTGTGACTGATAAAAACATCCATTTTAGAGCACATGAAGGCCTACATGAGTGATCCAAACAAGCTTCCATTGTGGGAGCCCAGAAAAGGCTGACCTCCCTCTTGTCTGATCCTTACCTTAAAGGATCCACGCTAGACCCTCCACTCTGCCTAGGAACCCATCAAGCTGTGCCCTGCTAGAAAGGCTCCTTGCTGTGGCCTGTGAAGACCATCCGGCCTGGGTTTCCTCTCCACTTGCCCCGCTGGCTCTGACCGCTCCAGCTATAGCAGCTGTTTGTTATTCAAACATGCTGTTTGTGTGGCCATCACAGAATCTTCGCGTCTCTGGAACGCTGTCTAATCCAACTTCTCCCTTACTCTTCGCTTAGTCAATTGCTGTTCTTTCAGATGGCAATTGAAGGAAGCACTGTTCCTTTCAGGAACACTTCCCTGACCCCAATGCCCCCCTGCTCATGTAGGTTCCCTAGTTAAATGTCCTAAAAGAATGAAGTTCTTTTCCTTTTCAGTATCTTAACTCAAGTTGTATTCCACATTCCATATGTGACTAGTTCATGAATATCTACTCCCAGCTACTGAATTTTAACCTCCATGAAAGTAGAGACAATGTCTATCTATGACCATATTTTATTCCCAATAGTGAGCACAGTGCCTAATAAACAGTAGGTGCTCAATAACTATGTAGAATAAAAGTTGCAAGGCTCAGTATGCGAGGGAATTTAACCTTAGAACACAATCTCTCCTATTTGGGGCCCATGTGTTTCTCATTACTAGAATAATAAAGGAGGTATTATCTCTTCAATTTTACTGAGTATGAACTATATGAAGTGGTTTTAAGAATTGTCCATGTAGTGGAATTTTCAGGTTCTCTACAAGAGTAATGTTCATTTTCTTTCCCACTTTTTCCCTTTTTTTCCTACCTGTTTGCATTTACTAAGTTTTCTACATTGAGCATATATTACTTTAAAAAATTAACTTGAAAAAAAGAACCCTGAAAGCAACTACTTTTTCCTAACTTGAAAATAAAGAGCTTTTGGAGGCTCGCTGCTGGAATCAGAGGGGAGGAAATGAAATCCTAGCATGCTACTTGGTCCAGCAAAGAAAAATATTTGCATAGGGGCCAGGCGTGGTGGCTCATGCCTGTAATTTCAGCACTTTGGGAGGCTGAGGTGGATGGATCACCTGAGGTCAAGAGTTTAAGACCACCCTGGCCAACATGGTGAAATCCCATCTCTACTAAAACTATACAAATTAACTGGGTATGGTGGCACATACCTGTAGTCCTAGCTACTTGGGAGGCTGAAGAAGGAGAATTGCTTGAACCTAGGAGGCAGAGGTTGCAGTGAGCCAAGATTGAGCCACTATACTTAGCCTGGGTGACAAAGTGAGACTCCATCTTAAAGAAAAAAAATATGTGTATGGGTTTCATGCAAATAGTTTTTGTTTTAGGCTACATTTAGGGACAAATGACAGATGCAGAACAAAATATAAGTATTATAAAAAATACAGCAGTGGTGAAGTAAAAGTGAAGCTGACAAGAGGCAGGAGGTGGGAGCACCAGGGGTGGTAATTCTCTGTCTTTTGTCCTTTCATGGAAAGGAATCAAGATAGGAAATCATGTTACCAAAAGTGGTGAAAGGTGTAAGTATATTCTCTATGATTACAAGAGAAAACAGAAGCAGTAATATAATCAAATGTTGAAAGGAAGAGAGGGGGCGAGATGAGCTAAAATCTCATCTTTCCAAGTAGGGAGTCGATAAGTAATGTCTAAAGTAATGTCTAAATTAAGAAACAGGTTACCCTCAGAATAGTGAGTGTTATGGAGGTAACTGGAAGAACTGGAAACAGGAGTGATGGGGACAGGCTGCCCTGGGGATTGGGAATGCAGGTGGGAAGAGGTGCAGCAGAGCTGGGTATGATGTTTTCATCAAAAGATCATCTGTACTATTTGATTTGTTTTAATGTGCAAGTAAGAATATAACGGAATGAAGTTACAATGTACAATTAACAACTTAAATGGAACAAAATCAAGAGGCTGGATTAAATGGTCTCTACATGTCTAGCACCAAGAGTCTGTTAAACTACAACCACTTTTCTCTTTAGAGAAGGAAAGGCAGTGAACATTACTGAGCGTTAACTACTGAGCCAGCTGCTCTATATCCGTCGCCTGCTGCATGCTTCTGGCCAGCCCTGTGAGGTAGGTCTCACTGTCCCCGTCCTGTGGACAAGGATATCAAGGCTCTTGGTGAGGTGAACTTTCCTACCTAGGTCCGCACGCAGATGCTTAAATAACCAGTAAGGATGACATTTAGATCGAGAGCCACCTCACTTCAACACCCATTGTTTTTCCCATGGCAGCCAATGCAGAGGCAGCCTTGGGAAGCTTGACTCTCCCCCTTCATTATACACACATGTCATTAAATTGCAAAGTTACCATAAATAGAAACAAAATTGCCTAAAATCTTACCACCTAAGAAACTTCAGCCTCACATCGGACAGGATCATATCATTTGTTGACTTACTGGGTTTTTGGTTATAGCAACTAACATTCTTTAAACTTAAGCTATGGTATATTTGTGGTTTGAAGAAGAACAAGAGTCTAAGCTACCTTCTTCTGTGCAAAGAAATAGGAAATTACTGATACTCAACTCCCAGAGGTAGCCTCAATCCTGAATTGGTTTAAATAATTTCTTTGCAGATGGACTAACTTTTATAAATCTGCTGATACGATTCCAAAGTATATAATCAGACCACTCACGTGGTCAATTTGTACCCACACATTCCTTCTTCCCTGACCCTCTTACCCCCAACCAAAGTTTTCTACCCATTTTTGTCCATCCTATAAAGCCCCATTTAAGTTTCATCTTCCAGGAGTCTTCCAAGCCCTTCCAGCCTGCAGTGCCTTCGCTTCTCAAAAACTTATCAGAGCTCTTATTCATTCAGGGCTTCCACTAAGCAGTCTGCAGACTGGACTGTCTAATCTAGCCCAGGGTCCTGAAATCTGAGCTTCTGATGGGGAACCAGGGGAGTGACCCACATCTCATGCAAACATTGATTGAGAGGGAATCTTCTTGAGGGACCACCCACACGCAGGACCTGCACCTTCTCTGTATTTTTCTCAGCCTGATATGAGAGGCCAGCAAGAATATAGAGAACATGTGCATAATAGGATTTAGATATCCAATAAGGTGGTACCAAATTCTGAGGACTTTCATTCTGGCTTGAATAGAGCCTGAGCTAGAGAGTAAGTCATGATTTCATTTGTATAGCAAATAATAGGGATCAACTATATGCAAGGCTCTCTGGAAGATGCTGGAGTAGGTGAGGCAGGCCAGATGCATAACCCTTGCTACGATGATGACGAAAACAAGGAAACAGGCAATTCTAGTAAATGCTACAATTGGGGTATGGCTGGGGTCTATGGAGATGCAAAGAGGAACACCAGTTCAGATTTTGGGGATGATGATAGGAAAGGCTTTCTGAAAAACAATGCTAACTTGAACCAGGGTAAGTGTTGGACAGGTAAGGGGGAACAGTACTTGCAAAGGCCCTACAGCACGAGGCCATGGTAGGCCAGGGCTGAGAGCCTAGGTAGACTGAAGCCTTTAGTGCTGGGGGAAGTGATATGACAGGAAGGAGGGGTGGGCAGGAGTGGGTTGGGAAGAATCTTCTAAGCCTCACTTAGGTTTCTGGATGCCATCCTGATGGTTTTTATCAGGGAAATGGCAGAGCTGCAGTTTCACCTTCTGATTGCAAGGGAGAGAAAGGATTGGGAAGGGCAAAGCGGGTTTTGGAAGAGTCAGATCAGGAGAAAGCAGGGCCAGGAGTAGTGGCAAAGGAGACGGAAGGAAGTGAGTAGAGGCCACGGACCTGATGACTGGCCGTGAGGGCGAAAGGAAAAGCCCCGTGTGCAGGGCACCGGTGTGAAGGTGGTGCCGTTCCTGGAGTCAGAGGACGCAGGGACACTACAGGCAGGAAGAAGCGAAGGTAAATTTCGGCAAGGAAAATTTCTGATGTGTGTGGGCATGGAAGAGCAGATGTCTAAAAGGCAACTAGCTATGAGGCCTGGGCCCTGCAGAGTCTATGGAGTAAATCTGAACTTGGAAATCAGCATGAGGATGGAGGCTGACCTCAGGGGAAAGAAAAGGTGCAAGTTCAAGGTTTGCTTGGGTGGGTGCTTCTCAGGGTGACCAAGACCCTTCTAGAGACTTCAGTTCCTCTGACTATGAGACCCAAGAGAAAAGCATAAAGTTGTCCTTGAGTTCAAGGGAAGAGATACATTCTGAGCATTTCCATGTCTACTAGCATACAACCTAAACAGGGATAAAAAGACACCTTTCAAGTCAGGAATAGGGAAGATGCCACTTCTCTGCATTTGCTGCTACTCTTTTTTTCCTTTCTTTAGGTCACCAAATATCTATTGAGTGCTTGCTCTGTGATCTTGCAGACAATCCAAAAGCACAGAGATGAAGATGACATGCTCCATGGAGTCAGAGAGGGGCCTAGATGCTGCGGGAAACACAGTAACAGGTAGAGCTCTGTAAAACTGCGATTTCAATGAAGTTTACCATCTAGTGGAAAAGAGATCCAAGGACACTCATGACAGAAATAAAACAGAATCAGCTGGGTGCAATAGGAGAAGTTGTTGACAAAAGGCTTTAGACTCTGATAAGAGAGAGAAACACCACCAAGTTCCTTGCAGAGAAAGGCATTTGATAAAATGTGTGTTGAATGAAAGGCCCAGGGGTTTGTGGAGGACGAGGAAGTGATGGCTGTGAGATGGGCCTGAGAGGAGGGGCAGGGATTTGAACTGTGGGAGGAAAGGTGCCATCCCATTCAGAAGGAGGATGAAATCAGGGATGAAATGAGGTGGCTGATAAGAAAGGAACAGAGAGGGCTCACACCTGTAATCCCAGCACTTTGGGAGGCTGAGGTGGGTGGGTCACAAGGTCAAGAGATCCAGACCATCCTGGCCAACATGGTGAAACCCCGTCTCGACTAAAAATACAAAAATTAGCTGGGTGTGGTGGCACACCTGTAGTCCCAGCTACTCAGGAGACTGAGGCAGGAGAATTGCTTGAACCCGGGAGGTAGAGGTTGCAGTGAGCCAAGATCACACCACTGCACTCCAGCCCGGTGACAGAGCAAGACTCCACCTCAAAAAAAAAAAAGGTAGGGCATCCTTGTCTTGGGCTTGTGAGGGGTATGGGCCACAGAGCTATGGGCAGTCAGGAGCAAGGCTTTCAGTTCTTATGGGAGTTTAGAGAAAAGGCTGATTCAAGTCTCTTTGCTCGTGGCAAGAGGAGGAAAGCAAAGAGGGGTGCTCTTGGTAACTGAGAACCTGCTTCTTACACACTGGAGACTTAGCATTCATTACTTCATTTACTACTAAGATCTCTGGGAGGTAGCTCCTTAGCCCTGGCACTTTTCAGTGTGGGAACTAAGGCTCAGAGAAGGGGTGTCCAATTGTTTGGACACCTCTCTCGGCTCAAGCACAGAGAGGCAGTGACCCTCTGCGGAGCTGGGTGTGAGACATTTCTCTTCAATTGAGCATAGGGAGAAGGCATTCTCGTGTGTCTGTGTTTCTCTGTTAGCTTTCCTGAAGCAGAAGGCAAGCCTTCCCACCACAGCCAAAGAGAGGACGGAGGCTGCCAGAGGCCTTCTTAGGGCCACTCAGTGGCCTCTTGTGCGGACTGGCCAGCTTCCCTGGCTTCATTTGCCTTTCTTGAATCTTAAACTGGTATTTCCTGATGGTAAATCAAATAGGTGGTCAGCCTGTGAGTCACAGCCGAGTTCAGTGCTAGCAAATGCCTCTATAAATTTTAAAAATAAGGCCAGATGTAGCTCCAGGATATATGCTACCAAGAATAAATCTTCCTAGGAGAGTAGCTGGAAAAGACAAAAGCCCTCATGACTTTCCTCCTCCTCACACATCACAACCTTGTCTGCTTTAACCCCTTTCCTAACTTTTTGATACCCTGATGAGGTTTGATACCCTCCCTTCAGCTTCATATCAGAAAAAATTCTAAATGTGTAAAATACTTGAAGGAATAGTGAATATCCTCATATCCTTGATGTACAGTCACCATGAACATTTTGTCGTATTTGCTTTAACTTTATTTTACTGAATCATTTGACAGTAAATGGAAGACACTGAGTCACTTCAGCCTTAAATACCTAAGCAGACAACTCCTAAAAAAACAAGGACGTCCTCCTGTGTAACCTCACAATTATGATCCCCAAAGTTTCAAATTTTCTTAATATCGTACATGATGTAGGCAAGACTAAAGTTTCCTCAACTGTTCCTGAAATGTTTCTCTTATCATGGTCAGATCCTGGTTCCAAAAAGCTATGGGCTTCCCAAAGTGTGAATGATATGCAGTTGCTACACAAAAACCATGACCTTTAACCACGCTTCCTTGGAGAACTGCCAGGAGCTTGTGCTTCTGCAGAAGTTTCTCTCCGGAAGGAGCTAATAAGTGAAAGTTGATTCAGTAACTTTGCAGGTACCAAGCGTCATGCTAATGCCTATTATTCCCACTATGTGATACCTACAAGGGAAATCATCATTAGGTGATTGAGAACCACGGTCTGCTGTAAAATTGCTCTGTTGACAGGTTTTTGGAGTTGGGATGCAAAAACATTTTACTGTAATGAACTCGCATCAGAATTCAAGGGACTCATATTTTATTGAAGCGCTTTCTGTCTTAATTTTCCTTCTGTGTTACACTCAATTTAAAACTGATGGACCATCAGTTTTAAAACTGAGGGATTCCTTCAAATGTCAAAAACCTTAAGTGTTCTCAGCTCATTTAGTCTATGAGGCTAACTGGAGACTTGATTTCTTCTGGCTATAGGCTACCATAAAGATTCCATGTACATACTTAAAAAAGATTCAATATGATTTTAAGAATGTCAGATTTATGCAGAATGGCATTAGACTCTACCTTTAAGGCTCTGGTCATAGCTGAGTGAAAAATACTGTTTTTCACTGGAATTATACAATTTTGCTTTATTTTGATTGAATGCATTATTCTGGTTGCTTTCTAAGGATGGCAAGAGATGATTTTTTTAAATGGAAGTGATAGTTTTCTTTTAAAATGATTTCCTAAAGGGAATCATCAAACTAGTATTTTCTTAAATAACCTTAGCTCTGATTTTTGAGGCAACAAGACAAATGTCACTAATGCATTATGTTTTTGGCTTTGTTGAGTAAGTACGGAGAAAGAAGCTGAAAATGGGAGGTCCAAGCACCTCATAGAAATCGGTGCTTGGCAGGAGGGGCATGGGGGGGGCTGGGCCTAACCAGAGAGCTCAGTGTTCTAAACATTCCCTTATATGGAGGCACATAATGTGGTTCCCGCATACTGATGTTAAGCCCCAAGGATACACAGCCTGTGAAGCAGGCAAGAAATTAGGCTTCCAATTTCCACCATGACCCTCTCCCTTGCACGGAATGTACAAGCTGCAACTCCCAGTCCTCATGTGGGACTCCAGGTGCAGCGGAAGGCTCATCCGAGAGATGCTGCCTCTGCGCCCGTTCCACTGGTCCCTCACTGCCAGCAGCTCTTCGTAGCCCTCACTGAATCAATCAGTAATTTAATCTTACCCAATTCTATGTGTGATCTTTTCCTGTCCATCTATGTCTTGCCTGAATAGTGCTGTATATTACTATGTTTCACCTCCAACCCCTTCCCCTGCCCCCTGAATTGTCAAGGGGATGACAGAATTATCCTGGATCAGAATCATGTCTGGTCAACTGGGAAAGATCTATAACCAAGAAACTGTGGCCTAGAAAGTGGGCTTTCCCTTCCCTTGAGTAGATGCCAATGTCTTCCAAGGTTAGCATTTCCTAAAGTGGGAATTGGGCATATAAGAAAATGTTACTTAATCATTATGAGCCACACAGTGAGCAAGTTCTTTCCTTTTTCAGTTTCCTGGCACTCTTTCTGACAACCTTAATCAGAAAGTCTCCATTTGAAACCGGCACATGTTAGCACCTAACATTTACTAATTAATCTTGTTTTTAACAAAGAGGGAATAAGCCTTGTGTTCAGAGATCTGGGCAGGCAGCAGCTGGAATTATATGATTTTGCTTTATTTTGATTGAATGTGTTACTCTGGTTGCTTTCTAAGGATAGCAAGAGATGATTTTTTAAATGGAAGTGATAGTTTTCTTTTAAAATTAAATTTCAGTAAAAAGGTTTTGTAACAGCACCAGAGATCTGCAGATCTGGTAAGAACTGTGACAACTAAGCATCAATGTCAAAAATCTGGCAGCTCTAGTCCAAGAAGATGCTTCTAGATGGGGCATCTTCCACTCTGGCTGTACATCAGAACCAAGTGTGGAGCTTTTAAAATATCTGGGCCCGGCCAGGTGTGGTGGCTCATGCCTATAATCCCAGCACTTTGGGAGGTCAAGGCAGGTGGATCACGAAGTCAGGAGTTCAAGACTAGTGTGGCCAAGATGTTGAAACCCCATCTCTACTAAAAAGAAAAAAGCCAGGTGTAGTAGCAGGCACCTGTAATCTCAGCTACTAGGAAGGCTAAGGCAGAGAATTGCTTGAACCCAGGAGGTGGAGGTTGCAGTGAGCTGAGATCGCGCCACTGGTGACAGAGTGAGACTCCATCTCAAAAAAAAAAAAAAAAAAAAAAAAAAAAAAAACTGGGTCCATCCCCAAAGATTTGGTTTTTCTTGTGACAGGGCTCAGAGATCAGTATTTTAAAGCGTATTTTCAAGTGACTTAAATGAGCAGCTGCAGTTGAGACCACTGCACTGCCCTGCGCTGCCTTCCTGGTGCTTGATGTTCATTGTAGAACAGTACTCAGTAGCACGAACTGTAATATGACCCTGACCATTGGGGGTCTCCTCACAGAAAAGTCGTTGATACAGAACTATAAAACCAAGGCTCTGACTTCTTGGCAGTTACTGGCAAGGCTAACAAAATAAGCAAGAACTGATCTGGCTTTGGAGGAAGGTGACTGATTGCCACTGTCTTGAATGGTGGTATCTTGAGGATGTTAGAGGATAAACATTACATTTTGATTTATAATCCACAGTGAAGCTGAAATGTCCCTCCCCTGATTTATAGTTAATGAGCCCTGTGCTAGGAGCTGAGGATACACTAATGACCCTTACCTGGGAAATCTTTCCTATCACCTTTACCTCTGGTTTTTTGTTTGTTTTTGAGACAGAGTTTTGCTCTATTGCCCAGGCTGGAGTGCAGTGGTGCGATCTTGGCTCACTGCAACCTCTGCCTCCCGAGGTCAAGCAGTTCTCCTACCTCAGCCTCCTAAGTAGCTGGGATTACAGGAGTGTGCCAACTGCATGGCTAATTTTTGTATTTTTAGTAGAGATGGGGTTTCACCACACTGGCCAGGCTGGTCTTAAACTCCTGACCTCATGATCCTCCCGGCTCAACCTCCTGAAGTGCTGGAATTTCACAGGCATGAGCCACTGTGCCCAGCCTTCTACCTCCTGTTTCTATGGATCAGTTCTTGTTTTATGCCATTTTTCACCAAATTGTTTTGTATCTAGGTTGAGGGTCTCTGACTATAAATTTTCATCAGTAAAATTCTGAGCAAAACCTCAACTGATAAATATTTATCAATCAAATCTATATAGCTGCTATTGTCAAATGGTGTGTTAATAAATAGTTAAAAGCTTTGGGAATGGCTGGGTATGGTGGCTTATGCCTGTAATCCTAGCAGTTTGGGAGGCTGAGGTTGGTAGATCACTTGAGGTCAGGAGTTAGAGACCAGCCTGGCTGACATGGTGAAACTCTATCTCTACTAAAAATGCAAAAAGTAGCCAGGTGTAGTGGCACATGCTTGTGATCCCAGCTATGTGGGAGGCTGAGGCATAAGAATCACTTGCACCCAGGAGGTAGAGGCTACAGAGAGCCAAGATAGCACCACTGCACTCCAGCTTGGGCAACAGAGTGAAACTGTCTCAAAAACCTCTAAAATCATCTTGCCCACCCCTAGAGGGCTTGGAGGGCTAACCTATGCTGACAACCAGGGGTGGGTGGTGAACAGTGCCATCAGGGATGGGATATGCCTTGGAGTCTCACACTCTGCCTGGCCCATGGGGACTCTTGGGCTTGTTTGTGGAACCAGTGATTCTTAACTTTCAGACCATTTTCCCCCCCAAGTCCTGATATATTGATGATGCTAGCAGGTTTGCTTTTCAGATTAGGCCATTTCTGAAAAGATGTAAATGGAGTTAAAAATCATAAAGTCACATAAAGAAAGTGTATTATTGGGAATCAAGGTGTCTCCATTCCACAAAGTGTGGATCGTTTTCAACCAAAAATATAGTCTGTATCTGGGCTGGAAGAAATACTCATACAGAAAGGTCAAACGCATTACTTGTGGGTGCCTGGGCAAAAGGACAGGACATGCTTCTTGGGCAGCTGGAGGAGTCTGTTCTCAGAGTGATGGGCAAAAATCATCCTGGACCAAGCACAGGTGGGCGTATGGAGTGATGGTCTGAGAGGGGCAGTCAAGAAGGGTGTTTCACTTATTTACTTTCCATGCATTTGAATTGTGTACATTTGCTATGTATGGGAGTCTTTCCTTTAAGGGAAACAAAGTAATAAATGTTTACTGCAATAAATCTAAATAATTTAAAGCCTAAAAAAGCGAGAGACACTTCTCCCTTGCCCCTGTCACCATCACACCCCATAGAGGCAATCACTCATCTCAGCTTGGTGAGTGTTGCTTTTATTTATGACTAATAATTTTTTATGAGAAAATATGCTAGAACATCTGGAACAATATTTTTAGAATGTGAACAGAGGTCGGCTGGGTGTAGTGGCTCATGTCTGTAATCCTAGCACTTTGGGAGGCCGAGACAGGCAATCACTTGAGGTCAGGAGTTCAAGACCAGCCTGGCCAACATGGTGAAACCTTATCTCCACTAAAAATATAAAAATTAGTTGGGTGTGTTGGTATGTGCCTGTAATCCCAGCTACTTGGGAGGCTGAGGCAGGAGAATTGCTTGAACCCGGGAGGTGGAGGTTGCAGTGAGCTGAGATCACGCCACTGCACTCTAGCCTGGGCAACAGAGTGAGACTGTCTCAAAAAAAAAAAAAAAGTGAACAGAGGTCATCTTAGTGTGACAATGTGGTTTTTGTTTTCTTTCTGCTTCTCTGAGTTTTCTATCAATAAGTTTATTTCAATTGTGTAATAACAATTAGAGGAAAGACATTAAAAGGCAGAAGTAGCAGACAGGTCAGATGTGGCGATGGAACTATTGAAAAGAACAAAAACGATCAGCAAAGCCCAGCTGGGCGTCTCTCTGTACCTTAATACGCTAACTTCAAGGCTCTTTGGACTCCAAGGCACATCTGGTTTTCATCCCGACTCCTGCACTAGCTATAACGCTGGGAAAATCAGCTCCCTCTTGGGGTCTGAGTTTTCCTATCTACACAATTTGAGGTTCTACTACAACAGTGGTTTTCAAGAGGGGAAGCTTTTACCCTCCTGAGGAATATCAGGCAATATCTGGAGACAGAGACGTTTTTGGTTGTCACAATGAAGGGTGCTACTGGAAAATAATCCAAAATTGTTGTTCAACATTTTTGTTGCAAAGCACAGGGCAACCCCCTAAAAGAAAAGATTATGTGGTTCCAATTGTCAGTGGTGCTGAGGTTGAGAAACCGACCTTGGATGGTCTCGTTCCCCAATCTGACTGGCATTCAAATCTGTGAGTTTGGGTCTAGACTCTCCTCACCTCTGGTGAGGTCAGTAATGCTCCCAAATGACTGACAGGAGTGTTCCTGTGGTCCCCTCCAATAAAACAGGGAGAGAAGAAATAGCAGAGACGAACGCAGAGAACACAGTCAAGTCCAGCAGGCCTTGCAGCAAAAGGCAGACGGAATGGCTGTGTTCTTCCCAGGGACTCAGGCCCTCCCTCCCTCAGACGTACCAATAGGGCCCTCTCCTGGTGTATGTTGGCATAACAATGGCCCAAAGTCAAGAAAACCACACAAAATTTGAACAAAAACTTAGTGATTGCTATTTCCCTAATGACCACTTTCTGATTTCCCAGGGAAGGAAATACTAGAGAAAACACTAGATAATAACAGAATTTCCTTTGAAAACCTGATACATGTGAAAATACTTAACAAATGCCAATCTGTTTCAGATTAGATCCAACAAATATTAAGAGGCCGCGATGACCAGACCATTTATGGACAGCAGATAAATGACGGACATAAGACTACCGCCACAGATTGCGGAAGGAGGCCTTTTCAGTAAGTGGTGCCGGGACAATCTGGGAATAAAAGATTTGATTTGTACCTCCCATTAAACATCAATTCTAGGTGAATAATGTGGACTTAAAGGTCTGTTTAGTCTTGAACGACTGACCTCTAAAACTTTCAGGAGATAGCATAGCTTCATGCGTTAGAGTAGGGAAGGTTTTCTAAACGATTCATAAGAGTACCAACCATAAGGGAAAGAAAACCACACTAAGCCTCAAGAACTTCCATTCACCAAAAGACGAGCCAGAGTAAGGTATGTGGAATACATGTATCCATAATATATAATGCCCACACCCATAAGGTAATTTAAAAAGGCAAGAATGTTGAACAGCACTTCACAAAAGATGGTGTCCAAATGGCTAGTAACGTGAAAAAGGAGAATCGGCATCATTAGGGAAATCAAAATCATAATGAAATATGACACACACCCTCAGAATGGCTATGATGAAAAAGAGGGACAAATTCAATTGTTCATGAGGCTGCAAAGAAATTATAACTTTCATATACCGCTGAATGGGAGTATAAGTTGGTACACACAATTTGTAAAACTGCTTGGCAGTATCTACTGAAGCCAACCTAATAGGTATTTCCCTAATAAAAAGAGTATATATACACCAGAACACATGTACAAAAATATTCATGCCATCCTTATTCATAATAGTACCAAACTATAAACAACCCAAATGTCTAACCACAGTAAAATGGATGATTCAATTAGTCTATTCATGCAATGAGAATACTAGAGTAATTGACTCAGTAATAAAAAATGAATCATCCACAACATGGATGAATCACAAATATAATAAAATCAGAGGTCAGAAGGGAAAGGGAAAACATATCAGATAACTCTATATGAAGTTCAAGGACAAGCTCTGGAAACAGAACTCAGAACCATGGTTCCTTGTGAAACACTGAAGAGGCCATGGAAGAACCACCTATGATACTGTAAATGTTCTGCATCTCGCGAGACCTGGGTGTGGGCTACATGCCCACATGCCTTCATCAAGCTGTACACTTAGGATTTATGCATTTGGCTGTAATATGTTAATTAAACCACCAGAACACCTAAAAACCCCAAAACCAGAAAAATGCCACAGGTACATGGGTTTATGTACTAATATTGCACACTGAATTTTGAGAAATATAAGCACCTAACAATGAGGGAAATATACCTTTGTCCAAGTGATCAACTGTTCAATTTATATCCCTCTACCTATCAATGATAATCTCTGTTAAAAAAAAAAATGGCAAACCACAGAGAAGGTATTATGGAACCTATACCCAGAAAGACCTCTGAAAATCTATTAGAACAGTGTGGCAATTCCTCAAGGACCTAGAACTAGAAATACCATTTGACCCAGCAATCCCATTACTGGGTATATATCCAAAGGATTATAAATCGTTCTATTATAAAGACACATGCACATGTATGTTTACTGCGGCACTGTTTATGATAGCAAAGACTTGGAACCAACCCAAATGCCCATCAATGATAGACTGGATATAGAAAATGTGGCACATATACACTGTGGAATACTATGCAGCCACAAAAAAGGAGAAGTTCATGTCCTTTGCCGGGACATGGCTGAAGCTGGAAATAATCATTCTCAGCAAACTAACACAAGAACGGAAAACCAAACACTACATGTTCTCATAAGTGGGTGTTGAACAATGAGAATACATGGACACAGGGAGGGGAACTCACACACGAGCTTGCTGGGGGGTGAGAGGATTGGGGAAGGCTAACAGGAGGAAAACCTAATGTAGATGATGGGGGATGGATGCAGCAAACCACCATGGCACGTATGAACCTATGTAACCTGCATGTTCTGCACATGGACCCCAAAACTTAAGTATAACTGAAAAAGTAAAATGGGCAAGAGATTGCTTACTTTCTCCTTTGCACTTTTTGGTATTTCCCAGTTTTCCTAAAACTATCATATACTTTAAAAAATTTATAGGCCAATGATAATACATGAATATGCCTTCCTTATAAGAAATTAAGACATTCCAGATAAGGCTAAAAAGTCCCTACTGACCTCTAATCCTGGATTCCTCCCTAATACCCAGAAAAAAACGACTCATTACTTGGCATGCTATTTTTTCTAGATCTTTTTCAATGCAGTGTTATTTGTGGGGTTTATTTTTTGTTTACCTCTATGGCATCATGTGTTTCTTGTCCTAAAACTTCATTTTAGGCTAATATTGTATTTTTCGCCAATTTTTATCTTGGTATGTGCAAAGCTGCTTTGTCGCCTTATTCTTTTTACTTGTGGATATTCCACAGTTTATCCAGCCCTCCGTCTACAGATGGCCATTAGGCTTTTTTTTTTTTTTTTTTGGCAGTTAGTAGTCCTCTTTCATTGAGAACAATTAGTATGTCATTTAAATATTTAACTCTAGCTTCCTAAACTAAAAAACTCCAGAACATTCGTGCCTTATTCTCACCTCGAAGTACTGCCTAGACTTGGCGATCTCCCCGGTTGTCTAAGTAGAAAGGGGATTGTGCACTTTGGTGAGTCTAACTCCTGCTCTGTGTTCCCCGCCCCACCAGCCCCCAGTGTTGATTCTAGGGATCAATACGGGAAACCTATGTTTTCGTTCTTCTACCTCTGCTGCTGCTATGCTGTGTGACCTCAAGTGAGTTCCTCCTCTCTGCTTCTCCGTCTTCTCACTTATGAATAGAGGGGGCTGAAACATTCACTGTGGAGGGGGTCTGTCTCAGCTCTGAAGGTCATTGATCCTGAGTGTCCTGTTGTCCTCAGTGATACATTCGAGTGACCACCCAGAGATGAGAAAGTTTTCCTTTTCCTGCAGCCCCCATTAATAGTCTGCCTCCTGGAGTGTGAACAGGGGAAGCTGAACTGATGCTCTTTGAGTCATAGTTCCTCATGAGAAGAGGTGCTTAGCGGGAGACACTGGGGACAAAGGCTTCAGGGACCCGCCCTTCCTCCCTCCACTCTTCCTGGTGCCCCTGAGGCCTTCAGCGGTTGTTCCTATTTATCCCTGTGGCTTCTGAAGACTACGTTGGTATAGCAACCCGGGTCTGCTGATCCGTGCAATAAACCTATCAATTAGTTGTCTGGAGAGTCTTTTTAAAGGGTAACAGAGAAGCAATTACTTCTTATAGAGGCAGAGCAAACAGTCCCCATTTCAGAGCCTCTCAGGGAGAATCTGAGAGCAGCAGGTCCAAGTCACTCATTTTAGGGATGGGGGCACTGAGGGATGAAATGAACTGGTTCATTCCAGGTCACACAGACAATTAGAGGCAAGGCATCCTTTCTGGCTTTGATTCGGAAGCTCCATTATCTCTCTACCTTTGTTCCAGGTGCCTCCTTTCCCCTCCTGCCTATTCTCCAAGCACTGCCTCCAAAGTGGACTCTAGACTCTAAAAGCCTTGTCCATCACTCTCTTTCCAATGGGTTCTCCCAACAGCCCCCAGGCCTTTGAAAACAGCCAAGCAGACCCCTCACCTGCTGCTCACAAGCTCACTTGGCATCCTGTAGTGAGCCACAAGGTCCCAGTGACCTGCTGCCCGGCAAACTCCCTCCACAGCTCTTACCTCTGTCTCCTTGCCCCGTGCACCAGCTCAATGGTGTCCTTCCTGTTCCTCAAAGCCCATCACGCTCCATCCTCCTTAAAAACAGCACATGGCTCCCTGACACAGCCACTCTCCCTCCATCCTGTTATCCTGTTTATTCCATCACACTCCCATCCCCATCTGCAACCACACTCTGATCCTTATGACTCTTCTTGTCCCCCTCTGCATTAAAAGTGATAAGACTCTGGCTCTTACTCATAGCCTTTGATCCACAACCTAGAACTGCTCCTGGCAATGAAGAGGCTCACCACGCCTCTTGCTGAATGAGTGGATGGATGAATGGATGCCGAAAGAGATTCCCACTATGTACTGAGAATGATGCAGCCCAGAGTAAAATCCTTCTGTTTCCTTCTACTGCTTTAGGCTGTCTCTGTTACCCCCACACCTGTAGGATTGGGCCCACTGGGAGCACCATGTGGAGGACAGAGACAAACTGGAGTGCCTTGGGGAGGACGCGGGAGAGCACAGTCTCTGTGAGCCAGACGTGAGGCACAGCAAATACCAACAAGCGGTCATGCAGGAAGAAGCGTGTGCTGGTTCTGCGGGGTCCCAAGAGGGAGATGTACAGGGGTGTGCTTTTGTTCAATATGGCAACACTACCGATGGTTTAGCTCTTACTGTATGACCTTTACATGTGGTACCTCTTTCCCTTGAAACTACCCTGCAGGGTGAAATAATTGTCCCCCATTACACAAAATGATAACACCGCATGCTCTCCCCTCAGCCTGGAACAGCTTCACAGGCAAATTCTCCAGGCTACCTCCCTGGAGACGCTCTCCTTCAGCCCCAAGAACACATCAAGTTCTCCACATTCTGTTCCCACGGGACTCCGCAATCACCACTCCTAGCTCTTGCTGTAATAGTGGACACATGACTTCTGTGTAAATATGGACAGGCCATGAGGCAGGGCTGGACACTGCTATATACCCCAGCATAGTGCCTGTCCTGTGGTTTCCAAGGATTAATTATCTAATGAGTGAGATGGAGCAGGGATCCCTCTTAGGAGCCCGGACACTCACTCCCCACACCCCCAACCCCCACCCCACAAGCATGGAAATAAAGGAAAATTTTGAATTTCTTAAAGAGAAATTCCAGACACCTAGCTAGCCCTGAGAAATAATAAACAACCTGATAAGCAAGAAGGTAACAGTAACTTAAACCGACAGCCAAGGAAGCTGGAATCATGGGATGTTTAATTCCCTACAGAAGTTAAAGATAACATCTTCACATATGTCCCAGAGCTGTTTTCAGAAACCTGGACCCCACACCTAACAGATGTGCTGGCATGCGGGCCTCAGATAAGAGGGAACTGCAGGTGGAGCTCCGACCGCAGTTCTTGTTCTTAACCTATTCCTGGGAGGCCTGGAAAAAGTCAGACCCACAAGCCAGAGCTAACATTCTTTTCTACTGACCCTAAATTTTAAAACAAAGATTCTCTTCCTTAACCAGTTGCAAATCAGAAACTCTCTAGAATCTACCTATGACTGTAAGACCCCACCCACTTCAAGATAGCCTGCCCCTTTGGGCTAAACCAACGGGTAACCTCCATACAATGACTTAGAACTTCGCCTGAAACTTCTGCTTTCCTGAAGTTTACCCTTGCCTTTAAAAACCCTGGTTTGCAATCCACTGGAGAGGCGGCATTTTAAGCAAGAACTGCCCAGTTCTCCTTGCTTGGTACTCTGCAAATAAACACCCTCCTTTCTCTTGGGGCAAACCTCAGTGTAGATGTTTGTCCTTACTGCGCCAGGCAAGTGGACCCCAGTATGGTTCCATAACATGAGTGAATGACAAACTAAGACCTAGACAACTGCACTAATCATGAATGGGGGAGCCAGGACTAGAATCCATGTCTGTCTGACTTCAGCCAGGATTCTCATGGCCAGAACTGCCTGGACACGGACTGAAAAGCACTTGTGAGCTTGCTCTAAGCACAAATCGATGCTGCGGGAGCCTCAATATCTGCCTGGTGTTGGCATCCCTTCCAACCCGGAGACATCTCAATTCCTTTGGGATCTGGACTTACCAGAGCCTGCTCTATGAGGAGGCAGAAGAGGATGGCATTGCCCACTTCCCTCAGGCTCTGGAACACGTCTGTTTTGAGCTCTGCATACTCAATGATGTCCTTCAGCTGGTGGTGGAAGAACTCCAGGATCCCTGGGAGGTGAAGCGGGATGGTCAGTGGGAAGTTGACACTGCTCAATAGGGTGTATGGGAAACACTGAGTGGTGGCCCAGACCTGACTCTGGGATAACAAAAAGCCAAACCATGTATCCCTGTATCTTCAGGCCCAGAGTGAGATTTCTTTCAGGGCTCAGTACTAGACAAAAATCAAGAAGCTGGCTCATGTCTTTTTCAGAACAGAACACACACACAAATGGGGCAGCACTGGACCCTTCCCAGTCCCTCCAGAGTTGCCTGAATTCCTAATCATGACAGGAATATTTATTTGTAGGTGTCGGATATTATGCAGAGGACTTTATCTGTAATATCTCATTTAATACAACAATATCACAAATTAGGCACCGGTTTTCAGATGAGGCTCGGAGAGGGCCAGGGGCATGCCCGTAGTCACACGGGGTAAGAAGGGCAGCTGGGACTGAACACCAGGGATTTTACCTTAGCTTTTTCCTATTCTGAATCATAGACCCAGCACTTGACATCTTGGTTTTGAAAAAAAACATCAGACACCAATTCACCATCCCCATCTTTCCCTCTTCT